AAACAACATCACCACGAACTCATAATGACCATAACGATTCTTGAAAGTCCTATTATGTACATCATCGTCCCTAACCTTCATCTGATGGTAACATGGTTGCAAATCGATCTTGGAAAACCAAGAGGCACCCTGAAGCTGGTCAAATAAGTCGACGGTCCTTGAAAGTGGGTAACGGTTCTTCACTGTTAGCTTATTCAACTCCCAGTAGTCAATACACATCCTGTGTCAACTATCCTTCTTTTTCACGAACATGATTGGTGCTCCCCAAGGTGAGCTGCTCGGCTGAATGAATCCATTGTCTAGTAGCTCCTGCATCTCCGGCTTGTGCTTCATCCGAAGCTCTACATCTCCCACTCGCGGGCCCTCTCAATCATGTCATTCAGGTTCCTGCACCCTGAAAAGCTCACGAACTCTCTGATTTCATCCCTCAACATGGTATTATATCCCATATTCTTCATCTGCTCATCCGCAATGTTCTACTAAACCAAAAGAGCCCTCTCCTGGAATTTGGCAGTAATCTCTGCCACAGTCTTGGTAGTCTGGCGAAGGTCCTGGAACTCCCTCGCCAACTGTTGCACCTTGATCGCCGGTGCAAACTCCCTCTGAAATATCATAACAAACTCCTCCCAAGTCATGGCTGCCACCGCCCAGTCCCTACATTTTCCCCCTCTGGGCAAAAATTTGTTTGCTGAGTATTCTCCATATCAGCGATCCAGCCTCGGCTAGCGATGCGGTCCTTAGCTCCGAAGAACTCTGGAGCTCCACACGCCTTGAACTCCTGAAATGAGGGAGTTCATGCTCTTAACTGACCCGCAACAATCTAGGCTCGAAAGGCCTTGCGCCGCTCATCCATAAACTCCATAATCCCCTCATTGATGGTACCAAACATCATAGGAGTAGCATACATGATACCGCGAGTGACCTCGACCGCAATGAACTCATGCAACCTCTCATCAATTGGTTATGTTCCTGAGCCAGAACTAGAACCAGAACCAAAGCCAGAACCTCCTCGAGTGATCACTACCATACTTAAACTGAAATATAAACATATAAACGATCAACATAAAACTCGAGGGAACTCTCAATATACATGTTTCCTTAGAATCCCCAGGTCTGTCCTTGTCTCGGGTACAAATCTTGTGCTTCTAGTAGTACGAGCCCAAGACTACCTTTCACACCTATATGTACCCTCCTCAAGAGCCGTCCTGATCCCTCTAAGTCACGACACTAAATCTATATACCAATCCTATGTTAAACATCGTACATATCCCACCATCATATATCCTAGACTTTCTTAGGAATTCTCAACTCAACTGCCTGCAATACCGAGAACCTCAATCAACACCGTTGGTTGCCTTATGCATGTAAGTTGTACACAAAATAGGATATCATAGACTGTCGAATAATGATTCTACCATACATCCACAACCAAATAAGGAACATGAAATGAGGCTAAACCAATCATTCTAGGGCTATATGAACCTAACAGTATATAACTTTTTAAGCATACACTTAGCAAGTAACTGATTCGGTATCAATCCCAAGTAAAACATAGCACCCAATCCTCATAAGCTATAAAGCAGCACACATATCAGGTAATTCTATCATATGATTTTTGAAGGTATCCTTAGCCTTAATCTAGCATGTAATTCACATATCAGGCATACTAATCATAATACATAGGTATGATAATTTAGGAACCACTTACTTGAGCTCAGCTGATTGCACGCATCACACCCCCTTTTTACTTAGTAAAAATCTTTTCGGAAATTCAATTTCTCTTTCCTTTGAAAATATTATCATTTCCTTAGTTTGAGTTCTAACACACCCGAAAGTGTGCCCGAATCCCTCAAACTAAGGCTTTGATACCAACTTGTAACAACCCAAAAACAATGATAAAATTTTTCATTTCTAAAATAGATAGTTTCAATCATCAAATAGATGTGAGTCAATTACAATGTACAATACCTAAAACATCAAAGTAAAAGTTTCCAAAAAGTGCGGAAATCATGAGGAGAGGATGTTGTGCCATCACGTCGGGCCCTTCCTTTTTTGTACCGGAAGTAACTGAAACCATAAACAAATCTGTAAGCACAAGGCTTAGTGAGTTCCCCAAAGAACTACATACCAAACATACAATTAGGCCTAGCCCTAGGGTATATTCCAACCTAATACACAAATATGGGCCTAGCCCTAGGGCCCAGCCCTGAGGTTTCTTCCAACCCATCATATACTCATGGGCCCAACCGTTGGGTCTATTGCAACCCAATCCTGCAATAATGGGCCTAGCCCTAGGGTCTATTTCAACCCAAACATACAAGCATATAAGGATCAGGTAACATATGTTATTCCACATAAACCATATGGTGGAGCGGTATTGGTACCTTCGACCCACAATTATAATGAGATGACTCACCTCTAACTGAAGATGACTGAATCACACACTCGAGCTGTTGCGAACACGGATCCTCACACTAAACATAACCCAATAACGACACTAATTATTAATTAGAGTTTTAACCCATAATCAATGGTCCACTTCATCCTTTATCATATTAAGAGAAAAATACACACATAATCCAACTAATCAAAGCCCAAAACTCCAAATGGCCCAAGGCCTAAAATCAGCCCAATGGATTTTCTGGAAGTACGCCCAACGTATTCCGCATTACGCCTGACGTACCCACTACGCCCAACTTTCTCAGGTTTATGCCCGGTGTAATCCCCCGAGTTCCAAATTCTAAACTAAGGTCTTAATGGGTTAAAACCTAATGTCCAAACTTCAGATCCAAGCCTAATAAAATGTCTAAAGCCATAAAGTTGCAACCTTTATGCCTTTGAATGGCTACAAGGAGCCCAGCACCAAAATCCTAACCCATTTAACTCTCTAAAGTTCCATAACTCTTGTATGGAAGAGTACCAAGGTCCAAGCTTGCATTTTTATGATCCTAAACACTCTAAAATGCTTAAAAGGACAACTCAAAACTATGGAGTATTCCATACTCGTAAAGATCAAAATCTTGGGATAAAAAGGTCATTAATCTAAGCTTAATCAAGATCTATCAAAACAATCAACAAGATCTCAACTTTATACCTCCTGAAGATGCACTAAGGTGCAAAAAGTCCAGATCAAAAAGCTTGAGAGCAACACCACAACTCCAAGGGCTTTCCTTCACCACCAAGAACACCAAAATATCACAAAAAGCTTCAACTATTGCACACAAGGATTATGGTTTCGAGATGGATGGTGGAGGTAAGAAAGGGTTTAAGGCCAATAAGTTCTTTAAATAGGGTCCAAACCCTAAAAATTAGGGTTTGCCCTCTGCGTGCGTACGTCTGGCGTGTACATGCGTACGCCCGACATACGTGCGGGAATCCACATTCTACTTTCAAGGATCTACGCCCGACGTAGGGACCAGTGGAACGTTAAGGAAAATGCTAGAAATGAAAATACCTATAAACTGGCGTTACAATTATATACCCGTCGGTAAAACTCAATCAACCATGGCTCTATAGATAGATATATATATAGATATATATATATATATATTAGATATATATATATATATAGATATATATATATATAGTATAAATATATATATTATATATATATATATATATGGAAAACTTCAACAGAGAACGATATTATTGGTTCTTCAAGGAACCAAATCTTTTTTTCACGTTTTAAAGCTTATTTTTATCGAAAAAAAAATCTAAAAATATTCTAATTCATATATTAACATTGTGAATATGAAAATTATTTTTCGGATTTACCGTGTGAATCCGGATTCACATTGTGAATTTGACGATTTTTTTTTTTTCGAATTTGATATCATTGGAAAAAGGATAAAAAGTTATGAATTTCTGTATTTTAGTTTTTTTGTTTTTTTTAATAAAAAATAAGTTCTAAAAGTTGAAAAAAGATTGGTTTCTTGTGGTTCCTTGGTTGGTTTCTGGTTCTCTATTGAACAGCACCCTATATATATCTATATATATATATATATTATATATATTATATATATATATCTATATATATATATCTATTATATAACAGAAAAACACAAAATAATAAAGATGATTTTATAAATAAAATCAATTTTCTTTTCTTTACATTTTCATTTTATTACATTAAAGTTGAGTACTTCATCATGTTGTCAAAAAATTTCAATCATATATATTTAAGTGAAATATTCATGAATACTTATATTTTTCTAATTATTATATATCGGATGGCAAAATTCAATCAAACAAAAAGTATAGGATATTACAAAACTATGAGCATAGATATTCAACTAATTGTAACAAATATATTTAAATAGATTCATCTCTTTTCTTTGGCTCCAAACGTACAACCATAAACATTCTTGAAATATATATAAAAAAAAGAACGAACAAGATGTGAGTACAAATGGAAATTGGGAAAATCACCTAAATAACTTTTAGTCTTTCAAAAACCTCGATTATCATATTTATATTTAGTTTTCTCCAACATATTTCATCATTCACCATTTTCTTTCATTGTGAGCAAGTGAACATGATTTAATCTTTTTATATAGGTAAACATTTCAATTAATTCAGCTTTTAATTAGAATAAGTTGAAAAGATTGGAGTTTCAAATACATTCAAGATAAATGATTTATCTTGAACTATATTGATTTGGATGTCTCTTTATAAAAGTATATATATATTATTATAATTATTATATATATAATATATTATATATCATATATATATATATATATATATATATATATATATATTCTTTTTTACTTAATAGAGAAATAATGACTTAATAAATAGAGTTAGTGAAATAAGTGAGTCCTAAGTTCTTACGAATTTCTTCTCATTTTTTTTCCTTCCATTGACTTCCCCAAGTTTGCCGTCATTTTCTCAAACATTTAATTATCCAGGCTCCTTATGCTTTTGAAATTCATTGGCCATTTACCATTTTGAATTTCAATATTTGTTAACATCTAAATTGACTTTTTTGTCCATATTAGTTTGTAAATTGTACAGAAATTATTTCGAAGAACATTGATTTGTCTAGGAAGACAGCAGAGTTTTCTCTTTCAGTCTGGATGGAGATACCTTCACAATATAAGGCAATACTAGAGCTCAACATATTAGGGTGAATTCTCAAAACTTTGTTTTAATAAATAAAGTATGCAAGAAAAAGCAAACGTGCTTTCATTTTATTTCTTTTATTATAGCATCCTATTTTCTTTTCTTCCTACAACATCATACTTTGAAAATTCTACCCAATCATAGGCAGAAATATCATATGAATACAAAGTAATTTTCACTCTAATATGTTATAATTTACTAGGTTTTTCAAAGTACATTATTGCATTGACAAGAAAAAACTTGAAAGTACAATGCTATAATTAAGTATATATTTTCGAAGTACAATGTCAAGAAAAAAACTGAAAGTACAATAAGGGAATAGAAAGAAATAATAGTCGCATGTTATAATAAACAAAATTGCAATTTTTGGTACATTCTTCAGTGCTTGTCGAGGAAATGATATTGAGAGGATTTCTCTTCCACCACCACGTTATGATTCAGCTTCTACCTCGAATAATAATGTAAGTCTCACAATCTATATTAATATAATACAAACATACTCTCTATTCTATTCTCCTAAAAAACAAGTAAACATTTTCACTTTTTATAACTTGTTTCCTAAAATATTGAGTACAACGTAATGTAAATTTTTTATGTTACAACTAACTTAGAGTATGAAATATATCCTACACTTTTGCGATAAAATATAGGATTAAATACATAAAAAAGTTATTAGTGAATTAACTTTATAGAATTATAAAGTCACATAATATTAAACTTTTATTTATACATTCTTTGCAGTTTTGACCCATCCACATAACTGTCGGAAAGGGCATGGCCTTCGGTTGTGGGCATCAGGTACATTTTCCACAAACATATAAACCTACAAAAAATACAAATAAATAAACATTTAAGAATTAACTCCTTTATTTCCTTTTAATTTTTTCAGACATGTTTCAAATGTGGCACAGACCCTTAACTTTGCCCCATTTGTAGGAGTCTCATACAAACCAGAATCAGACTTTATTATCCCTCCAGATTATTTTCATTACTCCCATAGGTGGTCGTGTAAACCATTCGAGTGCTTGATACTTTTCTTTTAATAGATAACTAGTTTGCTTGCATTTTCCTGTTTGGTCTAATAATCTGCATATTTGGACATTTCTAAACTACATTCGACCATTGAAAGGCCCAATAAAGTGATACGTTCAACCCCCTTGTGATGGACGATGGACTAACATCCATTCACCCGTTCAATTTACGTTTTTGTAATTGAATATTAATTTGGACTTCAACATGTACCAAGACTGTTGTTACCATTTACTTTTTATGCATTTGAGTTTAATGTTTATGCTATGGAATTTTATAGTATTTATAATGTTATCATTCTTCAAAAATCATACTAAGTTCTTGAACATTCATTTGCAACTCTTTCATATAATCAATGGCATTTCAAACTGTGGAAACTTTATCCATATGTCAAGATTTCAGATTATACACCAACAACCAAATAAAATTTCATAAAGTCTAGTAATAGCCTTCAAATTTTTGGGGACTAAAGCATGTAGAGCTATGAAATCATCTCTCTCTCTCTCTCTCTCTCTCTCTCTCTCTTCTCTCTCTCTCTCTCTCTCTCTTCTCTCTCCTCTTCTCTCTCTCTCTCTCTCTTCTCTCTCTCTCTTCTCTCTCTCTCTCTCTCATGTTCCCTAGAGACACAATATTCTTAGCTTGGTCTTGTTTTTCACTAGTTTTCTACTTAGTTTCAGTGTATTCTTTTGCTTGCCCGGAAATAGCATATCCGGGTTTGGGTTGAGTTGGTGAAACATGAGTTGATGAGTTTTCATCTAATTGCAACATCCACAGTCAAATAACCAATATCTACTTTGGTTGTGGCCGTGGTGTATGATGATATGGGACGGTTTTAAGGGGTTCCCGGTGTGGCACCGGCAACCCCTAACT